ATAGATAGATAGATAGATAGATAGATAGATAGATAGATAGACAAACCAACAAACGGACAAACAGACAGGCAGTCAGGCAGATATACAAACAGACGTAGAAGATAGACAGACAGATAAGGCGGGAGAGGGGGAAGGGGTGGGGTGGAGAGAAAAGGGAAAGAAAAGGAGAAAATTAGTACTGTGACGTTATACTTACAAAGATGTCTTGGCCTAGAGAGAAATACTGAAAGAGGACCAAAAACGAGCATGATTAGATTTAAATACATGTATTTAAAGCTTTCTCTTTAATAACACCGTTGAGGATGTCTGCTAATGACACAGCTATTGAGAAATAGAGAAAACTAGGTCGGAGGAACTAAGCTAAAAAAGCAGACCAGTTAATGGTAAGTACACCTTTTTATTCTTGTACAATGCAATGGGCTCCTTACATTCTTGTAGTAATCACCAACGGATAGATGGATGGAAATGATAAAGATAGCAAGAAAGATAGACAGAAAAAAACTTGTTGGACACAGAAGGGCACATATATCACAAAGAGACAAAGAGATGTTTCTTTAAATAAATGAATGCGTTAATTAATAAATAAACATAATCACTTGCACGGGTGGATAAATACAAGATGGATACAGCAATTAGCCCTTACAAGTGTCCATATACAACATAAGAAGGCCATTCCAAGATAAACGAAACTACAGTGACACTCTTGATGTTACTCTTTCACAGGCGAAACTGACTTTGACTTCACACCACTGGAGGGCAGGGTGTGTGCGGACAGGAGCCGTCCTGTGGGCGGTTCCTGATTATTGCAAACTAGGAATCGAAGGAATCGAATCCGAATCCAATTTCTTTCCTCTGATGTCATTTCTCTCGGGTGTCCATGATTTTTTCCTGTAGTTCCGACACCTAGACAATTACATGATGACTCCCGGCGAGTAGCAATTACTTCCGATGAATCCAACATCTAGCCAGTTATGGTTACCGAGTCGGCTTTAAGCAGCTTCAGGATAATCTCGATTTCGAAATACAGCGAGGCACCAACATTTTGTTCGTTTGTTTAAAAAATAATGCTGTTTTTTAAAGAAGGACATTTTAATAAGGAAAGTAATTGATAACCACCAATTTACGAAAAAAGAATCAGAACTTTTCTCCGAAATCGATTCTTCGCCCTTTCTTTAAATATGTGGGGCTAAGCCAGGCTGGAAGGCTGAGGCTTTCTCTGTCTTTTCTCTGCTGACTTCTTTCTTCTTAGTATCTGATGAGTCACTCTTCAAATTCAGGTTCTTTGTTTGCTTCTGTAAGTATCTTACGGCGCTCGCAACTGAGATATGAGATAAGATAAGATACATCTTTATTGTCCAGATCCTGGCACATTGGTTTGGTCTGCATAAGGCCATATGAGTGCGCAGGACACATTAAACATTTTCAGTTTGGTAAGAATTAAAATTTTTGCCGAAGCCTACTTTTATCAATTGTAGGACCACCAAGGGATCTTTTACGAGCGCAGCTTGCACACCGGACCTCTGGGAATTTAGGCTCTTTTTTATTTGAATTTTCTTTTCTCCGCAGGTCGTCACCGACGTGTTACGTATGTCACAGCAGTTTCTTTTGTCGTGGAATGGCATATTGACAGACACATCAACCTACCTACATACAAACCACGATCAGAATCTATAAATACGTACATAGGGACAATCACACGCGCGTGCGCGCACACACAAACATACACACACACACACACACACACACAC